AGAAATCAGTGTGTTGAAATTATAGATAGAAAAGCACAGCCAAAAAATAATTCCAATGATGAGCATTTATTTAAAATTAAGAACCTTGGGATTTTTAACAATACCCATAAAAAATAATGCTTTAATACTTTTTAAAAATTGTGTACAATATGTACCCTTTATTTCAAAGCTTTCAAATTTAGCTGAAATACTCCATTCACTATCAAACATTAATATAGATGAAATTCTTCCTTTATTACAATGCAATTTTAAGCCTCGTTTTTTTAATGTTTATTTTTTTAGTTGTAGCTGGACACAATACCATTATTTTATTTATTTATTTTTATGTGGTGCTGAGGATCGAACTCAGTGCCTCACACATGCTAGGTGAGTGCTCTACCACTGAGCCCTTAAGCCTCATTTTTAACTAGGTCTATTTCAAAAAATAGATCTGATTAGGTTTTAGTTAAAAGGATTACACCTCTGTCATTTTCTAGTGTATTTTTCCAAAATATCTGCATGAAACAAAATTTTAGAATCAATCCAAATTGTTTTTAAAATTTCCAAATTCAGTGACTTTTGATCCAGGAATATTTTGTGAATCATTTAAAGTTCAGCTCTTGAGGTATTAAAATTATGCAGAATTCTTATTTTTACTAACGTGGAGAAAAGTGGTGTGCATTCACATTGAACTTTTACCTATTGATATGTCTCTTTCAAATAAAGCACTCCCTCAAACTCTAGGGATAACAAAATAATGTGACCTGAGCTGGGGCTCTACCTCTAGAGCGCTTGCATAAAGCTCTGGGTTCAATCCCTAGCTCCACAAAAACAAACAAAAAATATGACCAGCGGAGAATATACACACATACTCCGGCATATTCACACACATAAAAGGCATCCTTTTTTAAATCAGATGATAATAGGCTTTATAATTCCTTGTTACCCTTTGTAAAATCTCTATAGTTATAGCACTGATTTTGTAAATTAATTTTTCATTGTGCAATCTGTTATTTTATTAATTACTTATCTTTTTAACAGATTTTAAAACCCTAAGAATGTAACAATATATTAAGGAAATTTAAGTTACTAATTTCATCAGCTATTGAAAAAAAAAGTGATTAATCTTTTTTTCTTTTTCTTTTCTTATTTATTCCTTCCCTTTTAGGATCCCAAACGTCATTTGGAAGAACATGTGGATGTACTTATGACTTCAAATATTGTCCAGTGTTTAGCAGCTATGTTGGATACCGTCGTATTTAAATAAAGCAACACAAAAAGCTACTATAGTGATACTTTCAGTGTATCTTCCTCTGCTGTTCCTAATGCTCAAAATCAAGGGACCACTGAAGGTGTATTTGGTTAAATGTAAGACATCTGGCATCATTTGCAGCACTGTAACACTTCTAGTCTCAGTTGTGCAATTACTTCTGTTTTCTTTAGTTAGGGTCTTTGCAGATTCCAAAGTTGAGCAAGAATACATCAAAGTGGGTTAATATCCCATTTAATATTTGAAGAAATCAGTAGCACAAATATATTTTGATTGTTGCTTACAAAATAAAATACATTTACAATCCATGTCTCCTGAGGTCTTTTTGGCACTGGGTAGAATTGACAGAATAACATTTGACAGTGCTTCGGAAATCTTACACAGAGATGTTTCCCTTTGCATTTTAAGATCTTATAAAATTATATCAGTGTGATAACAGAACTTCACAGATGCAAAATGACTGCCATTAATGAGTGGCTACCTTATGAGTGAGTAACCCCACCCCCAAAAATGTTGACATTTTATTAAAAGCATATACTTTCAGGATTTCAGAGGAGTACATTTAAGAAGAAAAGGGCAATTTTAATTTAGAATTGTTCATATTTTAAAAGAGTACATTCCACCAATAATTTTGAAATTTCTAGGATCTGCATGCTGGAAACTCTTCTAGATTTTCATCTAAGATAGCCACAGAAGTATAAAATGTCGTCTTCAAAGCAAAATGAAAAAAGTAGCCATGGTGTGAGTTTAGAAAACATAAGTTTATGAGCAATATTTTTTCCTCTCATCTTTCCCAAACTAACTTAGAAATACTCAGTTTTCTGATGGAGAAAAACATTTTGACTATTGACAGTTTTCAGAAATGAAGTCAACCCTTAGCCTTCCAACCTGATATGCCCCTGTTAAGATTCATGGTACAGCACCATACTGGCTACCCCAAGCATATGGAAAAAGAGAGAGACACCATGGTTAACTCCAGTCTGCACCCTTCCTTGTGAGAGTATTTCCAAGACTTAGCAAGGTTTATTTGGGGTCTTAAGATTTAGACTTTACCTACTTTAGGAATTATAAATATTGTGGTAGACCATTTATTGTCCTAGTTGAACAATTCTAGGCTTTTACTGGTTGTCTGATGAAGTTAACAAAAACAAAGAAATGGCTTAAATTCTCAGTATGTCTCATAGTGTCATTTTTGGTTGAATTAAGAGGAATTCTAAGCACCTTTTGCTCATTCTGTAGTTTCTTCTTTTACATAAAGATATTTTTATGTAGAACATGTAATATATTAATCCAGGTTATTAGGATTAGCTAACCATTTACAATTAAACTAAGGTAGAATTTTTCCTTTTGCTTAATCTCTGTAGGTTTTTTGGACATGACTTTTTTTTCCACTTTATAATTAAGGTTCTTAACTTCAAAGATTTAAGAGCTAGTTAAGGTTTTTTGTAGAGTATGCCTTCAGAAGAAAGATTTAGTATGTCAAGGACTGGTCTTGATATTCAGATTGGAAAGTATTCACAGGTTTATTTTTTTATTCACTTCAAGGTGTGTATTTGTTTACATAGTGATTAAAACCCTTCTGATAAGGTTTACATAGTGATTCTGTTTTTGCCCTTGTTTGATCACTTGATCTTCCTGGATTTTCCATAGCCACATAACACTTCCTCTTGATTCATGTTGGAGACAGTTCCAATTTCAGAAACATGTTAAAAACCCTCCTAGCAGAAAACCTGTGTTTTCTTTGTAGATTGAGTCCAGTGGATCAAGAGTCAGGATATACTAAGGGGAGAAGCTCAGGGAATGCCTTTGTCTTGGAATGTGCAACTGTTTTATCAGTAGCCTGATGCCCTAGGCCCAGTTAGGCACTGAAATGACTTTGTGTTTGTGTGCACATACTTGCCCACACATGGGTGCACGTGTATCTGATATGCTTATGTGAGCTCTTACCTACCCACTATGTAGAGTTAATACAACTCTGGAAACAAACCTTCGGCACAGATATAGCCCTACTTTCCTCAGACTAGTGTACAGCACTGAAAATTCCAACCTCACGATTCAAAATGTGACCTGCCTTGATTAATAGCATGTAGATATTATGGAAACATATTCCACCCCAAACCTACAATCAAGAATCCTGGGATGGTTCATATGCACTGGTCTACAGAAGTATGGATCATAATTAGTTGTGATCTTGAGGAAAGTCTTAGTTTTCCTTCATGAGTATATATTAATTCAAAACAAAGACTACACGTGATGAATTATTGAAAATAGTTCTGATAATCCAAAGTGGGTCAGTGCAATTCATCCCTTAGTTCAATTTCTTAAAAATTAAGAGGTGCACTCCATGTCTTCTCTCTCCTTTTAACACCTTAACGTGTCACTTTTGCATTCTTTATTTATTTAAAAAAAAAAAAAAAAAAAGCCAGTTCAGGGTGCCAGGAATAGGAAAGCCTCAAAAGGAGCTGAGAGCGGGTGTCTCACTTTCTCCGTGTATACTTAAGGTTCGTGTCCCATTGAGGACAGAGAAAGATACCCTATGAAGCACCAGAGGGAGAGGCAATCAGAGACAATGATTGGAAGAGGGGAGGAAATGTAGGTGGCCAAAATGGGACAAGAGCCTTTCAGAGGAACAAATGGCGGTGGAAGGTCAAGAGTAGGAAAACAAGCGAGTCAAATGGTGTCATAGCTGTTCTCCCCCTCCCCCGCGTCCCAATGCCTCACTGGCTAAGACCCTGCCGGTTTGTGAAGCTTCATCGCCAGGAGCCGAGGTTTGCTTTCGAAGGGAAAAATGAGTCTGGCTTTATTTTTTTCTCCCAGAAAATTGCCTCGGCTCGAATCTGAGACATCTGGTCATCAACCTGTACAGCCTAGGGCCGCCCGCGCCGAGCCTTGCTCTCGGCGCTCTGCTGGAGGCCGCAGCTGGTGCCCAGTGCAGCTAAAGCTCCCAGCCCGAGTTGGGAGGCGGCGCGGTCTGGGCTCAGCGCTGACCATTCAGTCCACTGCACTGCTTTAAATTACACCGTAGCCGCAAAGCTGCGAATCTCATTAACCCCTCTCCGCCCACGCCCAGGATCCACCCAATTTGCCCAGCGCCTCTGTCCCTGAGGGAACTGCTCCGACCCAGGGAGGCGGATGCGCCTGCTCGTAAACGGACTCCATCAGATGAGATGCCAAGGCCTCGCCTGTGGCACGGAGAGAGTGTGTGCCCCTGGGGTCTCCACCAGAGGTGGTCACCCGGCCCTCCCTCAAGTCTCCCAGGCGGAGCAAGCCCTCGAATCCGCCACCGCGCTGGGCCGAGCTGAGCTCTGGTCCTGCGCTCCTCCTTCTCATTCCCGCGCGGCTCTGGGAGACTGGGAAGAAAGCCGCGGGAGGCCAGGTTGGCGAGTGCCGGGCCACGGGAAGCAGCTTTGGACAGTTAAAACCTCTGCTGCTCTTGGCACTATGGTTCAGATTGATGGCTGGGCCCATCTGCAGAACAGGTACTGGGAGATCTTTTCTCCCAACACCTCGGAATTGCTTTGGGCCTCGTGCTATTTATTTGTGCCAAAATCCCTTCAAATTGGTTCTTTTTTCTATTCCTCTTTAGATTCTTCCTCCTTTTAAAATTACTGGCATGGATTCTTTTTCTCCCCTCCAGATTATATAAACAGCGTGCGCGCGCGCGCGCACACACACACACACATACACACACACGAATGTGCAGAAAGATCATTGCGTTGACACCACTTCCACTCTGTCTCCCCAGATCAGCGCTCCTGGCTAACCCATTTGCACCGGGACTCAGACTTCTCTCCTCCTGGCTAGGCTTTTGAACCTATCGCCAATCCAGCACCTCGGAGAAAAGGAAGTGCAGTGAGACTGGAAGGTTGCATGGTGCCTGCCCCCAGTTAGATGCTCCTCAGATAATCTGCAACCAACTTGGTTTATAAAATATTTAGTAAAGACCCGGTAAACATCACTGCAAATACATTAAGGCACTTCAGCCTGACAGCTTATGATTATTTCAAAACTTCAAAAGGAGATCATAGATTGTCACTGTTTCTATGCTCCACCAAGAAACCGAACCTTCCCGAGGTGGGTGGATGGGTGGGTGAGTCGCTGCTTTTCGTCCCCACTTCTCCCCCCTCCTCCAGCTCATCACTGTGGCTCTCAGCAGCAGGGACTTATTTATGTATATAGTTTAAAAGGTGGGGGATGGGGGTGAGGGCACCAAGGACACGCAGGACCTGCTCACAAAGCACCCACTCAGGTGTTGTGTGCTTCTGTATTAACTGGAAAAGACAGACTCTGGAACTTTTACAGGGCGAGAAGAGGCCACCGGCTCGCGCTTTGTATACTTTGCACTTGAAATCGTTACATTCAACTGAATATTTGGCTCATTCAGATCCGAAAAGTCTCCTAGCATCATCGAATTTCCTCCTCCGCCCCTCGGCTCTAAAGGGGGGAAGAGGGGGGAAGGTAGGAAATGTTTAGTAAATTGCACATCTTTGAATCTTCCTAAAGCAGTGGTCACAAAGCTTAAAGGTGACACAACAGTGCTCACGTAAACCAACACACATCCCCCACCCCCCAAGCCAACAATAAAATCATCCCCTTAAATTTGCCATGATCGTCGCGACCAGGAGCCAGGTGATTATCCTAATTAATGTCTATCTAATTAAATTACTGTCAGCAGTTAACCAATGGCAGGAGCCGTTTCATCGGCTGCACAAGCAGCAAGATCAAAAGTGAGCCTTTTCTGATTGCTGCATAGTGTCAATTGGCCAATCTCTTCTCCCAGGGAAAAAAAAAAGTAAATCAAACCTTTGAGAAGCATTTGCTGGTTGAAGTGCTTTCTGTCTAGTGAGGGGGTCTGTGGATTTCTAGTTTATGATAAATAGGACTTTAAAAACGAGGGACGGGAGGGCAAGTGTTCAGGTTCTAGAGCTATGCAGCTGGAGCATTGCCTTTCTCCTTCTATCATGCTCTCCAAGAAATTTCTCAATGTGAGCAGCAGCTACCCACATTCAGGCGGATCTGAGCTTGTCTTGCACGATCATCCCATTATCTCGACCACTGACAACCTGGAGAGAAGTTCACCTTTGAAAAAAATTACCAGGGGGATGACGAATCAGTCAGATACAGACAATTTTCCTGACTCCAAGGACTCACCAGGGGACGTCCAGAGAAGTAAACTCTCTCCTGTCTTGGACGGGGTCTCTGAGCTTCGTCACAGTTTCGATGGCTCTGCTGCAGATCGCTACCTCCTATCTCAGTCCAGCCAGCCACAGTCTGCGGCCACTGCTCCCAGTGCCATGTTCCCGTACCCCGGCCAGCACGGACCGGCGCACCCCGCCTTCTCCATCGGCAGCCCCAGCCGCTACATGGCCCACCACCCGGTCATCACCAACGGAGCATACAACAGCCTCCTGTCCAACTCATCACCGCAGGGCTACCCCACCGCGGGCTACCCCTACCCACAGCAATACGGCCACTCCTACCAAGGAGCCCCGTTCTACCAGTTCTCCTCCACTCAGCCGGGGTTGGTACCCGGCAAGGCACAGGTGTACCTGTGCAACAGGCCCCTTTGGCTGAAATTTCACCGGCACCAAACGGAGATGATCATCACCAAACAGGGAAGGTAATGCTACATTCTTGGCTGCCGCTGCTCCAGGCGCGGCCAGGGGGCAAGCGCACCCAGGTTGTGACCGCTGCGGTAGCGACTATTTGGGGTCGGGACAGAATGGAAGGCGCTCTGGAGCGCCCTGGAGTTGGCTGGTTTTGGAAAAGGGGAAAGTGGAAGGGATAACCGCCGTGGTGATGTTGGTAGGGGGGAGACAGATGTACTAACGCGGTCGGAGAGCCAGTCAGTGGCTGGAAAAAGGCGAGAGAAAGAGGAAGAGCCCCGGCGGGCTGCCGGGTGATGGGAGGGACGCATCAACGCCTGTATGGACCGTGAGGTGGAGAGGCAGGTCGCCAACCTTGCTCTCTACCTGAGCAGTGATACCTGTCGACTCCCCCACTCCAGCTGACTCGCTGCTCTTCCCGTTCAGTCCCACTTCTTTCCTTTCCCACCACCCCTTTTCTAGATTCGTTAATCTACCCTTGGAGAACAAGTTTTGCTTTGCTATCTGGCGCCCCGCTTCTTGCATTTAATCTTTAACACTTATTTTCTTTTTTCCTTGTTTTCTCTCCCCCCGCCCCGCTTAATTTAAATAGGCGCATGTTTCCTTTTTTAAGTTTTAACATTTCTGGTCTCGATCCCACGGCTCATTACAATATTTTTGTGGATGTGATTTTGGCGGATCCCAATCACTGGAGGTTTCAAGGAGGCAAATGGGTTCCTTGCGGCAAAGCGGACACCAATGTGCAAGGCAAGTCCTTCCAATTAACACTTTTTCTTGACACTTATTTAGGTGAGAATGATTAATTAAAGCCTTTGTGGACTGGCGAGCGACTTTTAAAACGATCGGCCAATGACTTCTTAAAGGAGACGAGGGGACAAGGGGACAGACTGAGCGAGAGGGGGAGGATTATGCAAAAGCTATTTTAATCATCCCCAGTTAATAGGAAGAAAGCACGGCCTTAAAAAGCCGAGCTAATGGGCCTCACAGTGGAGTGAGGTGTGTGTGTGTGTGTGTGTGTGTGTGTGTGTGTACGCGCGCGCGCGCGCGCGCTCTGGCGCTATGAAGTGAGGAGTTAGGACTGGGCAGTGCCCCGGGCATATGTAAACAACGTACTTCTTTCTCTAGGAAATCGGGTCTATATGCATCCAGATTCCCCGAACACTGGGGCTCATTGGATGCGCCAAGAAATCTCTTTTGGAAAATTAAAACTAACGAACAACAAAGGAGCTTCAAACAACAATGGGCAGGTCAGTGGCTCAAGCGCTCGTGCCTCCCTCCCCCCTCTCACACACACACTCACACACACTCGCGCACACACCGTTCGACAGTATAAAACAGCAAGCGAAACTGGATGGTGCTTTGCTTCATTAAATACTAAAAAATTATATTTCCGCCACTCAAAATTATATTAGATCTATAAAGTTGTTCTTTTTGCCCCCCAATCCTGGCCCAATTCCGGAGTTCCCGACCTTCCCAAGTACAAATACTGATTAATTTTGAGAAGGGAACCCAAGAGATCTGCAGGTTGTGAAAAATCTTTGTTTCTCCTCAAAGGAGGTCTAGGAGAAGGGCTCTTGAGGATCCGCGGTCGGGTTTGGTTTTCGCGAGTATCCAGGCGGATTCTCGCTCCCTGAGGCGCAAGGACCCATCTGCTGCAGCCGGACGGGTCCCGCGGTCAGTTATCCGGGGTGGCGGGATATAGTTTGTCCTCGCCCGGCTTTGGAGTAGCGGCCGGTCGCACACAACCACCGGCACGACCACCAAGTTAACACGCCGCTCGGCGTTCTCCTTTTTCTTCGTCGGACAGATGGTGGTTTTACAGTCCTTGCACAAGTACCAGCCCCGCCTGCATGTGGTGGAAGTGAACGAGGACGGCACGGAGGACACCAGCCAGCCTGGTCGCGTGCAAACATTCACTTTTCCCGAGACCCAGTTCATCGCGGTCACCGCCTACCAAAACACCGATGTAAGGAGGCCTAGAGTCTGTGTGCGCGGCTGGCGGCGCTGACATTTCCCGCACCCTCCGTATCCCCGCGCCCTCCTGGGCTCTGACGCTAACAGCACCAACATCAGCAACAGCTGGCTCTGCTGAGCGCTTTAGGCTTAGGGCTAGGGGCCTGGTAGGCACTTCCCTAAATACCATGCCCGGGACAATGCTTCCTATTTTTCGATTTCCTCTCTGACTCGGTCACTATGAGGTGGCCAGGATTTCTAGGGTCTCTTCTTTTGAGAGTTTTAATTTGTTCCTTAAAGTAGAACAAATTAAAATCTCTCTCCCCTCCCTCCCCCCTTCTTTGTTTCTTTTCCCTCTCTCCTTTAGGAAACAAGCAGATCTCCCCGTTTTATTCTCGGCAAGTTTTGACATCTAAAAAAATAATTTAAAAATTTTCAGAATTGATGGTTAAAATGAACAAATATTACAAGACAAGACTGGGGCTCTCCTTCAAAACAGTCTGTTCTAGGATATTAAAAAAAAAGAAAGAAAGAAAAGAAAAAAACATGCATTCCTATATGTGAAAATACAATAAATCAAATTACTGGGAGCTACAGAGTTTTCTGGCACTCGAACCTCTTCAGTATTTGTATGTTTACAAAAACTGATTTTACTGGCTGATTTGACTACTAGGAATGATAGGGGTTTTTTAGTTAAATGAAAATATTAAAAATGAAAACATGCTTTTATTTTAAATCAAACCCGAGTTTGAGATGCAATTTGCCTGTTCCTCAGTTGTGAATCAAAAGTGACCAACTTTTAAAAATATGGCAAAACACTTAAAATAGGCAAATTTGGTGATGAATTCAAGTTCTTTTAAAAAGATTTTTGTGCAAGTGCATTATGTGAAACAAGAATTTTAAAAATGTGAGTTTGAACCAAATCAGAACACACAGGAGAGAGTTCATTGAAAACAATGCCTCAGTTTTAGGGGTCACTAATTTAAACATGTCCTTCATAACTTTCATGATACTTGCTCTTTTTTGTCTTTTCATCTATTCTCTCTAATTTTTCAGGTAGGGAAATCTTGTTATTTAATAAAGCCATAGGCCTTAAGTCCCTGTAATAAGTGTCAGATGATATAAGAAGGGGAAATTACAGTCATCCCCCCCCTCTTTTTCTCCCCTAGATTACACAACTGAAAATAGATCACAACCCCTTTGCAAAAGGATTTCGGGATAATTATGACACGTAAGTAATTTTGCATGTTCCTTTTCAAATAGTTGTGGATTGGCCTTTAGGTCAAGGGTGGATCATTATGTACAAGGGTTTTGGAAGTTAGAATGTGTGAGTTAATTGAGGTCGGTCTCTCTCTCTCTCTCTCTCTCTCTCTCTCTCTCTGTTGGTTCCCCTGTTCTCTGGTGATCTTGTGGCTTGGTATTTGTGTGATTTGGGTCAAAGGTTTCCTCTACCTATTTTTAGCTTTCCTGGGAATTACTAAGTTGGCGGCCTCTGGGTTTGGCTGGCTGAGGAAGCTGCCCTTGTTCCTGGGTGCGGGTGTTGTATGTGGCACTGCAGATGCTCAGCTCAGATTGTCTGTGTCTGAAACGGGCAATTCTGCCTGAAAGTGCATGTGGCTCTGGCAGTTGTTACAGTCTCCTTGGCATATGTGACTTTTATTTACCCATTTCCAAGTTTTGTGTAATAGCATTTCCTATGCAAGTTTACTATGGACTGAAAAAAAATGTGCACCCATCACAGGCGAGTTCATGAGTAGAATTGGTTATAGTCAATTCATACTTCGGGAAGGACTAAGATGCTGTTGCTGTGTATTATTTATAAGCTTCAAAAGACAAATATTTCCTCATCTTGTATATCTAACCATGTGTCAATTAAATGCGTTGGTCCCCCCCCCCCCTCTTTTTCAGGCTTCTTACCTATCTCTTTTCTTCTAGCAAAAAGCTATTCTCTGGTGGCAGCAGTAGGTGTAAACTAAAGGCTTTCTGGGGTTGTTTTGGGATTCTCACTCAGGGGCCAGTCATAGTGCTTAAAAATTCAGACAGTGTTATATAGCAAAATCTAAATCTGTAAGTTCCCCCACTTTTTCTGTCTACAGGAGAGAAGGGTACATACATCTTAGTTTCATGGCTTGGATTGAGTGTTTGGGATACAGCTCAAAAGTTGAAGCTGTTTTTGTCTAGGAATAGATTAAATGTGTAGAGAAAAAGGCAGGTGGCTGCCCCTATTCAATTTCCAGGCAGATATCCATCTTCTCTCTCGATATTTTATTTAAAAGACAGTCATTGGCATCACTGTATATAACCTTCTTATGCTTTCCTCAAAAGTAGTTCAGAGGAAGCAAGCCTCATCAATGATTCCCCAGAATAAAAACTTGGCTACCCAAGTTCTCACAACCTGAAAAGGTGGGGCCAGCACAGTTGAAAGAATGTGGCCCAGGAGACCAGGGATACAGGAGGAGAATCCTATTGATTTTGAGCTTTTAATTCTGTTATGAACAGCTGTTCCAAAGTATTTTATTTTGCACAAATCAATTCAGTAATCCCAAGTGGTTTGGGACCTGGATGGGCATCTAAACTGTATCTTTTGCAGACTGTTTTTTTTTTCTTTTTAAAGTATTGTGATGGTAAACAGAGAAGATATTTGTACCTTCCTAGTTATGTTCCCTTTCTGCCTCCCTCTTTTTCTCTTATTTGAAACTGGAATTAAATTTCTAGAAGGAAATTACCGTAGTCACCAGAATGCACTTGAGCAGCCATTGCCATTCTCACCTGTCCCTCATCCTCTGTCTTGGAAAAGCCACTTCCCTTTCTTAAATCACTATTTTTTCATAATTTTTTTAACTATATAAAAACATACCTTGGGCTTTTTAGGGGGATAGTGAAGAATTGAGTGGTTTATGATATTTCCTTTCCCCACTTAATTCACTGGGCAGGCTTGATTTTGGAGAAATACAGAGAGGCACAAGAGTTCCTGGGGTACTAGGAGGTTACTTGGCCACTCACCAGGGAATCTCCTCCCCAAAGGATTAAGGTCTGACAAGACTGGGGCTTTCCTTCAAAACAGTCTGTTGACTAAAGACTAAAAGACTCATGTGTGAGCTAAATAAAAAGGGAGGCATGTGTGTATGTGTACGAGCAAACACTTCTAATCTTCATCCAATCCCCGGTTCCCCTTCAATTCTAATGGGATTTCCTAGGCCCAGGGCCTAAATGTTAACTTTTATTTTATCTAAGGTAATTCCCAACAACACAAACTCTGTTTGTGATTAGGCAAGTTATTTAGCTTCCTTTTGCCTTAGTTTACTCATCAGTAAAGTGGGGTTGCTGTAAGTTAAATAAGTTATTATCTGTACATTCTACAGAAAACAGTGCCTAGCACATATATGCTGTTGTAAGGGTTAGCTATTGTAAGTGGTTCATTGCTTGGGGGAGGTTGATAACTGTACTATAAGAGTTTGCCCTAAAGTTATTGCCAAGGGTGGATCAAAAGCTGGGGGTAGAGAAGGTCGGAGTAAAGAACATTTTTACTTTTTAAAGAGTTTTATTGATTGGGGATGATTGTTTCCAAACAGTCATTCTCATTCGTTTGCATTGGTAGAGGTGGGAGTCAAAGGCTCACACAGGGGAAACAATAGACAAAAAATACCTTCCAGCAGCAATCACCAGAGTCTCAGAAGACCAGCGAAAGCCAGTCTTTGATGATTACTACCTGGATATATGTGCCCCCCTCAACCCCCGCCCCCCCAAATAATATTCTCCCCAGGGCTGGCTTAGACTATCTAGAAAATGGAGAAGCAAAATCATCTGAACAATCAAATGGACATAGGAGTGTTAAAATGGTGAAGGGAGTGGGTACCTATTTTTAAAATTTCACTCAGAAACTCGCCACAGAGGAAAGGCCCATTGGGCAAATGCCTCAGTCCCAATGTACTCTGGCTCAATGTGCGTACATAAGGTGGAGAAATGGGACGAAAGCCTCCTGCGGGCCCCTCTAGAGTCCCCTGTGCCCTTAGCAGGGGAGAGAAGGGGAAGAGGAAAGCCTTCCTCTAGGTGCTCTACGTCCTGCTTAGGTTTCTGCATAGACAAACGGCCTCCTTATAAACCCAAGACTTATTTTGGGGAGGATGCAGGTCCTGTGACCTTCTGTTGCATCCATTCTGTATGGCAAGGGCAAATTACAGACGGAAAGTGTGGAGGTGGGCGAAAAGTGGAGGTATCCTTCCCTTCAGCACCCTAAAGGGACCTCCGCGCCACCCGTCGGTTCTCTCTTTCTCCCTTCCCCCGCAGGATCTACACGGGCTGCGACATGGACCGCCTGACCCCGTCGCCCAACGACTCTCCGCGCTCGCAGATTGTGCCCGGCGCTCGCTACGCCATGGCCGGCTCTTTCCTGCAGGACCAGTTCGTGAGCAACTACGCCAAGGCCCGTTTCCACCCGGGTGCAGGCGCGGGCCCTGGGCCGGGGACGGACCGCAGCGTGCCGCACACCAATGGGTTGCTGTCCCCGCAGCAGGCCGAGGACCCCGGCGCGCCATCGCCGCAGCGCTGGTTTGTGACGCCAGCAAACAACCGGCTAGACTTCGCGGCCTCGGCCTACGACACCGCCACGGACTTCGCGGGTAACGCGGCCACGCTGCTCTCTTACGCGGCGGCGGGCGTGAAGGCGTTGCCACTACAGGCAGCCGGCTGCACCGGCCGCCCGCTCGGCTACTACGCCGACCCGTCGGGCTGGGGCGCACGCAGCCCCCCGCAGTACTGCGGCGCCAAATCGGGCTCTGTGCTGCCCTGCTGGCCCAACAGCGCCGCGGCTGCCGCGCGCATGGCGGGAGCCAACCCTTACCTGGGCGAGGAGGCCGAGGGCCTGGCCGCAGAGCGCTCGCCGCTTCCGCCCGGGACCGCCGAGGACGCCAAGCCCAAGGACCTGTCCGACTCCAGCTGGATCGAGACGCCCTCCTCCATCAAGTCCATCGATTCGAGCGACTCGGGGATTTACGAGCAGGCCAAGAGGAGGCGGATTTCGCCAGCAGACACGCCGGTGTCCGAAAGCTCGTCCCCACTCAAGAGCGAGGTGCTGGCCCAGCGGGACTGCGAGAAGAACTGCGCCAAGGACATAGGCGGCTACTATGGCTTCTACTCGCACAGCTAGGCCGTCCCTGCCTGCTTAGGGCCCGCGCGCCGCCGCGGCCCTACCCCCCAGCCAGCCCCTCACAGCTCTTCCCCAGTTCCTCTTTCCCAGGCCCTACTTTGAGTGCCCTCTCATTTTACTGACCCTCGATGACCGTCTGCAGCGAATAAGTGCAGGTCTCCCACTATGATTTAACCCTACCCCCACTTTTTTTTGCACAGCCGTCTCTGCAATTAGAGCACCGACCTTCAACTTTGCTGTAAACCTTTTGGTTTTCCAACTTCATCTCCTTCTATGAAGTTATCCTTCTAATAATCCTCCTCCCCTTCGTCTCTCTCTCACCTCCTCCTTCTTTTTCTTGTAATGAAACTCTTCACCTTTAGGAGACCTGGGCAATCCAGTCAGGCAGAATCGATTCCGACTCGCCGTGTCTCGGCCTCCCCATTAACCATAGGATGTTGACTCTAGAACCTGGACCCACCCAGCGCGTCCTTTCTTATCCCCGAGTGGATGGATGGATGGATGGATGGTAGGGATGTTAATAATTGTAGTGGAACAAAGCCTGTGAAATGATTGTACATAGTGTTAATTTATTGTAACGAATGGCTAGTTTTTATTCTCATCGTCAAGGCACAAAACCAGTTCATGCTTAACCTTTTTATTTCCGTTTCCTTCCTTTTCCTTTTCTTCTCTCATTCTTCCTTTCTCTCTTTTCTATTTTCTTGTGAGGTAATTAAAAACATTCTAAGAGGCTCTGGAAACAATGAAATACTTGATAGTCATGGGTTTCTCACTTCTCCTCAATTCGTTGCATGAAATAATTACTATGTGCCCTAATGCACACAAATAGCTAAGGAGAATCTGCCCAAACACCTGTAAAGGATAGGTGTCTGTTCATAGGCAAGTAGATTAAGTGGCATGATGCCTGCAAAGCAAAGTTAACTGGAGTTGTGTTTTCCTCCCTTCCTTCTAAATAGAATAGCTCGATATCAGCAATATTATTTTGCCTTATTTGTTTTCCCCAAAGTGCCAAATCCATTACTGGTCTGTGCAGGTGCCAAATATGCTGACAAACTGTTTTTGAATATCTTTTCAGCCCCCCTCCACCTTTATATGCTGTAAATCTTTGTAATGAATACTCTACTAATGATATAGATGACTGAATTGTTGGTAACTATAGTGTAGTCTAGTGAAGATGAATTGTGTGAGTTGTATATTTTATTGCATTTTAGTTTTGAAAATGATTCCCCTTGCCACTTAGAAACAGCTGAAATTTGACTTCCTTGGGAAAACACTAGCATAATGCAAATAAGACTGATTTCCCCCCTCTAAGTCTTGTTATATTTGATAAGGAACATTAATCCCCCTGGAAATAGATTAGTAAGATTTCTAATGTTGTGTAGCAAACCTATACTTTTTTTTTGTATTTTAAAATTAATGTGAAATATGCATCATACACAATATTCAATCTAGATTCCAGTCCATGGGGGGATTTTTTCCTAATAGGAATTCAGGGTCTAAACGTGTGTATATTTTGGCTCTTCTGTAAATCAAATGTTGTGATTTTTATATTTGTTTCGTTTTGTCTGTGAACTGAATAATTTATACAAGTACACACTCCATTGAGAAACGTTTTGTTTTTTGCTCGTTTGTATCGTCTGTGTATACAAGTAAAATAAACCTGGTAAAACGCTAACTATGGTGTTTGAAAGCAGTTTACAGTTTGAAAATAATTATTATAGGTAATTACTTTTAAGGGTTAAGGAAGATTAGCCTGTTCCTACTGATAAGGAGTAGAATGTTTATTTGGAACCACCTCTAATTTCCTCCTTGAATTTGCTTTATAGCGCTCTCAGGAATTGCGATTTCCTTTTTATTTACAGTTATTTAGTTCCCTGTGAGTCAAGTTTCTTTTTATTGCGCTCATCCCCCCAACCGAAAATATACCTACTTTCTTCATATATGTCTCTGATTCTCTCTGAAGTTAGAAATGAGGCGAACAGGAAAAGTAGGGTCTTTAAATAAGGAGTTAAGAATTTCTTTAAATTTCACAAAGTAAGGTGGGAAGTATTGGATGAGAGTAGGCTGTAATTTTAAAGCATGGTAAGATAGGCTGTTGACGACAGGTGTCAAAAATGTTGGTCTTACTAAGAGGCCTTGGAGGTAAATGCAAACACAGAATGGACTACATTTCTTGAGTGAATGGTTTTGGGGGATCATGTGGGGTGGGGTAGAGAAGGACCCATAGAACAAATCCAAGGAAGAGCCATTTGTAAGCACTGAGTTTAAAACTTGTTTTGGGAGGTGTCTGGAGGCTACTAGCTATGTCACTCCTTTACAGGAGTTCCCGTGCCAGTTCCCACCCAGACCAGATTCCCATCCCTTGAGAACAAATATAAAAATGAGAAATTTCCGCCTGGGGGCCGCTGCGCCTTAGGTAAGGATTCCGCAGAGTTCCACCTTCACCTGGTAGAGATGTGATTTTTTTGGCCTTTGGTCTCCAAAGAGGTGATTCAGGATAGAGTCAGAAAAATGGTTTAACGTTCTTGCTTAGTCTGGGCTGGCCTCAGGTTACCGGACAAAATCTAGAGACTGTCCTGTGTCCCCTTTGCAGTCTGACAGACGTAAAGAACCTTCAAAATTCCAATTCAAAAGAAAATTCGAGGGAGGATGAAACTGACTTGCCTTCCCTGGACAATTCCGCCACTAGACGGCGTTCCGTGGAGTTTTGTCTGCCACACAGAAAAGCGATGACTGATTCTCCTTTGTGTTTCCTTCTCCTTTCCACATCTAAGAACTAAAGAAGAGGACGAAAAGTACAAAACACGGTGCATGTGTTAGCAAGTGAAGTGGAGTAATGCATTCACGTAATCACTCACCCGACCAGGGCTGAGCTCCTGCTACCTGGCCACCTAGTCGCGCTGAGGAGCAGGCGCACGTGCGGTCGCGGGGGAGAGGCTGCGGGGGCAGGGGTGGTAAGAACTCGAGGCCGCGCGGGGACGGCGCTCAGCTCTGGGACCCAAGGCCTGGTCGCGAGAGCGCGCGCGCCTGGCGGGGCCCTCAGCCCTCGGGGCAGAGTCCCTGTGAGCAAAGGAGTGGTGTCATGTGCGTAAACGAAGCTCTTGGGAACTGAGGATAGATTTCACAGGAACGTAGTGCCTTGTACTGAAAGACGCGCTTTAGCTGCTATTAGGAAGTTCTTAAAAAAATTGGGGAGGTCGTTTCCCTTGCAGCTCTGCCACCATCTGCTGTGTGGACTGAGTCAGCGTGAGGTAAATTTGCAGCCACGCGCTCGGAGGCAGTGTGCTTTCTTGTCCCCTTAAAGCATCATCATTTCTCCTCGCTTCCAAGGAGTCTTGGGTGTCTAGTGAAGTGATACTGTCAATGTGTCTGAGAACCTGCTTCTGTTCAAAGGAATCAGAGTTTGGTTCCGGGAGGCCTAGTGGGAATCAAGGTTCGTGTGTCACGCTGGAATTCAAGTTGCCTTTTATGTCCGTGAGAGTAGGGGGTCAGTTTAAGGGCCGAAAGAGGTGGCGAATCCTCCCTGTAAACTCAGATTGCCTCAGTTTTCAACGGTATATTTGCGAAAAAAAAAAAAAAAGAGAAAGGAAGTAAAAAGAAGGTGAACGTGTGGCTCTTGCTTTCCCGCCACTCACAATCCCCGCCATTTTAACTCAGTTTCAGTCTCACTTGGAGCTGAGCGCGGCAGCCGGCAGGTGCCCAGCGCTGCAGGGTCCGGGTTCCTAATCTTTCAGGCGGACGCAACCCGGTCGGGGTGGACCCAGAAGGATCAGAGCGCTCAGTGGGCGAGGGTGGCGGCGGTGGTCCTGCACTGGCAGGCGAGGCCGCAGCTTGGCTCGGGCATATCGGAGCCCAGGCCCGAGGTTCGGGAGTCCTGGACCCGCCGCGGAGCCTGGGCCAGGCTTCCCTGCTTGGCTGCTGGGCGTGCGCGCTGCGGGCGCCCGGCTTTCCCAGCCTCGGGTCCAGGTCCGGGTCCAGGTCCAGGTCTAGACCCCGGGTCAGGCCGTGGAGCCGGGCCGAGGTCCAGGTGGGACTCTGAGTAACAGGCCCCTGTACCCTACCGGTCGGGAAGGGCGTGCGGCCTAGGCGCTGGCCTGCAGGTGCTGCCTCCCTGCTGTTCCTGGAAAGCCAGGCCTGGCAACTGAAAAGCAGTTAAAAGGACGTGAACAGACTTTTTAGGACTAGCTGAAATTTACTGACCAGTTTAAAAAAAAAAAAAAATCAGTTGGTTTCTGTCTTTTTAGAACTGACTTACATCACCCGAGTTTTGAAAATGTAGTATCTTAAGGTCTATGGAGGACTTCCTGAAGCCCTTTACCTCTTGAGTTATATTTTCTTATACATCCCACTGTTAAAACTCTTTGTGACTCAGCTCTTTTTGTCATATTATTTCTTATCTCTTTAGCATTGAGGTTTTAGAGGATGTTCTACTTTCTGTTTAGGATGCAGGTTAGGAACAAAAGCTTTGTTGAATACAGAGGCTATTTACATTCCCAGAAAACTTAAACTGCTTATTTTAAAATATCACTTCAAGTGATATTTTAACAATGTGTATATGTTCATAAAGGATTTTGTGAAAGGTTCAATCTGTCCTCAGGTACAGCACCTTTTTGTGTGTGGCTATGAGTTATCATGTAGGCATTTTGGCCATGGGATAGGGGAAAAAAGTAGAACCGCGTGATCCTGTAATAATCAGGCTTATCTAGATTTCCTTGAAAGAAACAAAAACAATAAACTTATTCATAAAGAAAACAGCAACATAAAAGCCTAATGAGTCAATTAGATTTTTAAAAATGTTTAATTTATTCTGGTATGTTGGCAATTGGTTGATAAATTTTGATATCTGAAAGAATAATATTTTAACCTAGAATCAGTGAAATCAGTTTTTACAAAGGTAGCCAAGACTTTTTAAGCAAGTTGAATCTGTGTGAATTATTGAAGTGACGGTCAGAGGTATTCTTTTGTCAAAACAAGAATCTCTCAGAGATGACAGACAAACCAGGAGAAAATTTCAGGCATTGCATTATACTTGGTTTAATTCAGCTGTTTGAAACTTATGTGTCTTCTCGCTTCCTGTCTTCTGCTTGCGGGTTAGGTTGCCACACACTTAAAGATATATTCACTTGAAATAAAACCCCACTGCTTTCACAATAAAGTAAACTTGATGGTGTACAAGTCACTGGCCTCATCTGAGCTGATTATATCTGCCTTGCATGTATTTTACACCCACAGTATGGTTTGCAGCAGTGTTCAAGGCATGGCGTGAAAAATTTGATTTGAATAGTTCCATTAAAGCAATGAAAAAAGAATCCATGGCTTAATAGAGCTTCTAGTGATGGCTCCCCTTCTTACTATGCTAACTCCGAAATAAATATGTAATCTAGTATTAGGAACATGGCATTTAGAAGACCCTTGCTGGTAATATTTAATTTAATAAACATACTAGCTGTGACATTGTTAATGCAATGAAGCTTGTACCACAAGCTGATTCTTTCAGATTGTTTGACCTATTACTTATCACTAGATTCCTTATAAACATGTCCTGCAATTTATAACTTGAATTATGTTTCAAATTATTTTGGACTTCAACTCTTTAAAAATACCTGCATAGTGGGCACTCATTTTATAAAAAAAGCTTTTATGCTTGTGTATTATGACATACCTTTTACAAGGAGGAAGAGGGAAATTTGGAGGGAAAAGCAACTCTGTGTGTATGCCCCTGATTGTTTTAACCAATATAGTTCTTTACGCCAATACTAATAGGAAAAAAATATATGATTACACTTTGGGGCAAGAGTTGGCTTTATATTTTTGATGGTTAAATTGGATTTTAATAAACATCCAATTAATTGAACTTTCTTGTTAAAAACATAAAACAAAGTTTGCTTTATATATTAGATTTACTGCCTTTATTAGGTTTACTTTGGTTTAGATTTAGTACATCTCTTCTTGGTAAAAGTGTACTGTATGTGAAAAAGCCGTTTCAATTCAAACTTACCATTTCAGGTGTCTAAAAAAAGAAAACAGTTGACAATGTTTTCTCAAACCACAGGGTCTTTCTAACTCACATTTAAACTTTCAAGATGTATTTGTCGTTTATTTTGCCATTCCTAGTATGAAAGGAAAGGAAAAGCATTTTTCAATCTTGGGAAAATTCAGAAGCAATTTTTTGGTTCTCAGTTAATTCAGTTTCATCTTAAAAGTTCAAATTTAGCAAAGCACATGTTCCCTTGTTCATGCCAAGTGTGATAAAAACTAGTCGAAAAATAAAACCATTGCAAACAAGTAGAGCACTGCACTTCACTGCACAGTATACAGGCCACATCGTTTGTAGGTCTGATGTCACTGCCTGCTGGGCTGCCATTTGTGAGCACATGTAAGTCAGCCTTGAAAAATTGATAGAAGACTCACTATTTCAGATATGTGTGTTCAAATTGTTTTTTAAATATCCTCTCTGAATAGTGATATGCACACTCATGAACATTCAACCATTTGCCATCTTCTATCAGTAAAAGGTTATGCATTAGAAGACAATATTTTATTTCAATGCATCTAAAATATGCATAGCAAAGTTCCCTCTGTCTTTTTGTAATGTAGTCAAATTATAGACTACTTTGTGGAATTATAACTTTCTTCATTAGTTTAATCACAGTATTTACAGCATTAATCTAACAC